GGACTCACCTACGCCGAGCTGGACGGCCGGGCGCTGCAGGCCAAGCGGGGGGGCTTGGCCCCTGCCCCTGAGCCCGCCCAGCCCAGCGTGTACGCCATGATCAACGTGAGCCGGGGGCCCCACAGTGAGAGCCCCCCGTAGCCATGGGGCATCGGCCTCCAGGGGGGCAACAGACTCACCCCCCTGCAACGCCAGCCCCGAGAACTCTGCTTCCAGGGAAGATTTAGGGGGGATGCTGCCCTCCCCCCACTGCATCCCCATCCCATCGAGCAGCTGTTCCCCTGCCCTGCCCAGACCCACATGTAGGGGCTGGTATAGGGGGCTCAGCACCAGGAAGGGGACACACCGAAGTGGCTGTTTATGTTATTTTGCTTCCTGTTAATCTTCAGATTTGCAGTAAACACAGAACCACAAACCAGCCCAACCTGGGTACCCCACAGCCCCCCTGTGCCCGTGCCAGGAATGTGTGTAACTCCTGGGGGAGATGGGGTGGGGTGCGGGGCTGGTTATACAGGGACCTATCGCCCAGCGCTGGGATGCGGCCACATCTGTGGTGGGCACTGGTTATACAGTGACCCATCAGCCAGCACTGGAATGTGACCCCTCTGGGGAAGGGCATCATTTGGGCAGGATGCCAGGGTTCATGGCCTGACTCTGGGCAAAGCTGCAGAAGGGAGAGCCCCACAGCTAATCCCCTCCTTGGGACTTCCCCGCAAGGGTCCCTGGGGCAACATAGGAATCATCACTTGCTGGGAGCAGTGCAGGGGCTAGGACACAGAGTGGGGCAATTCTGAATCCCCCCTGCAGGGGGTGGGGGACTATTTTCCATTGAACAAGGCTTTGTTGCCGTTCAGTGGTGTGCGGAGTAAGAGTCCCCTCAACTCCCCCATCCTGGCCTCTGCACGAGATGCTCCCCACCCCAAGATCCTGGCCCCTGCAGCCTCCAGACCCACAGATTGGCCTGGAGAGACGCGACTGATCCATGTCTGCCTGTCCCTGGGCGCTCAGACACCGGCCGTCTCCCTGTTGCCTCAGTTTCCCTTAACTCCTGCTTAAAAAGCCCCCCTGAACCTGCTAGTCCCTGCCTGTGACACTCTGTACCTCGGGGTAAACACCTTGCACCCCCATGTTCATCCTCATAAT